AAAATATTTGGTAAGATTGTGTTTTTGCAGTGTTGCAGTCCTCTGCTCTAAAGTGATGAGTTTAATAAAACCTGATTCAAGTGTTGCCGTGGCGTCAGCGGTTGCCGTGAGAAGATGGGTGATCTGGGCATCACCGGTGCATGAATCTGAAAAATAAAGTTAAATGTAGATTACAGACAGGGAAAGAAAAACTTTAAATCTGAATATACTGCAATGCAACACTTTTTACATGGATTTCACATTAACCTACACTGGGCAGCTCTGTTGCTTATTTTTAATTATAAATGATTTTGATTATGACATAAAAAATATTAACAGAGCTTCTTTCTGGATTTTCTTTCTCCGACTTCCTCCGGTTGAGACGACATCTGTTGTGAATTAGCACCATGTAAACAAAGTGAACTGAGAGCTTGGTAAAAAAAAAAAAAGTTTTACCTCCTGTTAAATATTCTCCTATTTTTCTTATCATACAGTTTAAACTGTCATATATGAGAGATAATCTGAAAAAAATGAGATCTCCCAGTGCTTACTAGAAACCACCAATCAGAGCCAGGAGGAGGGTCTTAGCTCTGTCAATCTGTCATAGCTAGTTAGCATGGCTAACTAGCTGGTTAGCATGGCTAACTAGCTGGTTAGCATGGTCACAGATGACAGCAGATAAACAGTTTTCCAGTAAACAAGTTGTTTCTCCGCCATAAACACATTTAATAGCAAGCCAAGTTCATGATTGATTGACAGCACTAAGACCCACCTCCTGGCTCTGATTGGTTGCATCTGGTAAGGGAGGAGAGCGATCGCTTCACAGATCGTTTTATATTATGCCATCAGAGTGACAGTTTTAACAAGTGTCTAAAAACATTTATAAAGGTTACTGCAGCTTTAACTTATTTCAGAGTCATATTCACCCATTTTAAAACTACCTCCAAGTGTCAGCCATGAAAATATTCTAGTTAAATCAGGATAATCTACCCGAGCGGGCCCTCGTTGGCCAAACACCCTCCTGGAGTACGATCCTCTGGGTTCTCCTCTCTGGACTCCGTAGGAAGAGACGGGACACAGTAGATCCAGGAAGTCAGCGTTCACATGCTGACCCCGCCCTCTGTGACCGATCACACACACTATGGCGCTGTCCTACAGATTTAAACCCCAAAACACAAGGATTTAAGCCGTCTGCAATTGTTATTTGTTGTATTGAGGGATCGTTTCCCTCCGAACCTGGAGTATCGATCCAGAAACTCTACGGTTTTTCCAGTAAGGAGGCGTCATCCTCTAGAAAAGAGACATTTGGTTACCATCAGCTGCTTCAGAAAAACAAAATCTTAAGCATTTTTGGTCTGGTTTCAAGCTCAAATATCCTAGTACACTTGGAATAAGACGAAGCTGACTTATAATTAACTTTCCAGCTAAATATAGGGGCTTGATTTCCATTTTAACAAGACATTTCCTCATATTATAAGCAAACTAGTAATTTTTAAATCAATGTTAAGTATAACTGCACAAATAATATACATTGCATGTACTGCACAGGATTCTGGGTGATGTAGGCAGAGGAAAGGCTGCTCAAAAAAGTCAAATATTTGCTAGAAAAAAGTCACGTTTTGTAATTAATCTCAAATTGGTGGAAAATCAAACTTCCAAGTTTTCTTTAAAATTTCTGAGATTAATCTCAAAATTTGAGATTTTTTTTTAGCACATTTGTCACCGTTAACATTTTCTAGATTAGTCTCAGAATTCCAAAAAGTGGAAATTTGAGTTTTTAAAAGTAAAAATTTGCTAGAAAAACCTCAAAATTAGAATTTTTTTTTTTTAAAATTTGAGATTTCAGAAATTTACTAAGTGAAAAAATTTTGACTTTTGGAAATGCAAGCTTTTTCTAGAAAATTTGAGATTATTCGCAAAATTCCATAAATTTATGGTAGAAATTTACTCTCCTATTTACAATGGCAGTTGTACATGTCAAACAACATTTGAAAAATTATTTTAACTTTTTATAATGACTGAAATAGACTAGACTTTGGTTAAAGTTTTTGCTTTTTCCTGGTTTCCTGAAGCCCACCTAGCGCCATCTGGTGGCTCCACTTTGAAAAACACTTTACCAAGATATTTTCAGTAGAAACTAAACCAAAAATACTTGGTAAAATTATGTTCCTGCAGCGTTCAAATAAAGGAAGTTGAAGTCCAGCGCTCCCTTACGTCATCCACAGAGGTACTCCTGGACACGGCGTGCCCACAGTCCACTATGGCGCTGTCCAGACTCTGAAACAGTAAAAACAAGCCGATAATCAGATCAATACGTCGATATGTGATCAAAACAATGTGATCTCAGAGCAGCCATCTTGGTCACCATGAGGCTCGGTCGTCCCTCCACTATCCTCATCACGGCCGGGTCTTCAAACATCTGGCCCCTGCCCAGGCCTCCCCTCCACCTCGACCTCTGACCTCGCTGCCACGGGGCAACCCGGGCCGGATGCAGCGGCTTCTGTCTGGGGGGAGACGGAGGTTTGGGCTCCGGCTGCAGCGATGGCGGCTCCTCAAAGGAAATGGCGCCATCAGCTAACGGCTCCGTCGTCCCATGTGGGTCGAGATCTAAATTAAAACAATTTACATTTATCCTGCAGATAATAGATTCTGTTTTTGGACATTGGCCTGCGCTACAAAAAACAAATCTTAGTCTAATTTATAGTGCAAATGTTTTAGTTTCAAATGAATATTTACTCAATGTGGACGAAAAAGAACTTGTTGCACTTTAAATGTAGATTATTTAATCAAATATGCAAGTTAGTTAAAACGTTAAAGTAGATATGCAGAGGCGACTGGAGCACCCAAGTAAGAGTAATGACATTTTTAACTCGAGTAAGAAAGTACGGGAGTAAGAAAATGTTACTTATGTACTGAGTAACAGACCAAAATGTAATTTAATATTTAAAAAAAGAAAAATATGTCAGATGGACCAAAATATAAAGGGTTATGTGGAAATGTTGGCATTAAAAAACCCAAAAGGAAATTCATAAATGGTTAAAAAAAATTCTGGCAAAACAAATTTTTTCAAATCAATTTTCTTTCACATTAAAACGTCTGAAGCACAGATGTGCATCTGTGATCATGAAGTTTTATTTAAAACATTGTTTTTCATTCAGTGAAGTTACTCACAGTGGGGAGTATCCAACTACAGCAAGTTGGAGCCATTGCAGATTTAAAAATAATTATAAATTCTGCAAAATTAACTCAAATCAAATTTCTAGTAGAAAAAATTTTTTAGATCTGCAAAATTTTCTAGAGCATGGACAAGTTTCAAAAAGTCAATTTTTCAAACTCAAAATTTCCAAGAGACAAAAAATGTAAAACTTTACAGAGTCAGAAAAGTTCCATGTTTTTCCAGAAAATGCCAGTTATTTCCTAGCATGCTCAGAAATGTCCAGGAATTTGTTTCCTAAAAAATTTCTGTGATTAAAAATTTCTGTTTTTTGGCAGAAATGTACTTTTACTATAATTTTTTACAGTTTCTCTAATGCTCCATTGAAATATCCAGACAATTTACTCATGGGTGTCAATACTTGATATCAGTCAAGTAAGAGTAAAACCTAGTAAGCAGTGAAGCACATTCTAAGGTAAATATTTGCCAAAAATTTACTCAAATTACTACCCATTCTACAAACTCTTGTTTTTCCAAATGCAGTAAATAAATCTGAAATACTGAGAAGTTTCATATTCACCTTTTTCTGATTAAATGCAGGAGTTTCAGATGGACTCACCCATCCCAAATGTCTCCTCATTGAAGACATTTATGTCCTCGTCCTCCTCGGTCATGGCCTGCAGCAGCTCGCAGTCCATCCCCGCATCATCCTCTGCGTCACTCCACGCATCTCCATCCTCAGGCCACTGAGCTTCATCCACTTTATCAGACTCCTTAAAGAAAACAAACCGCGGAAGTCTGAGCTGGTTCTGATCCGAACAGAACTACCTGTGTGCGTTGTTTACACATTTTAAACAGTGAAATGACATCGACCTACCTGTTGTTGTTCCGAATCACTCATTATGTTTGTAGAAACTGTTGAATCCGAAAAGTTCAAAGCGCTTTCCCATCCAACATCACCTGCTTTTTTTCTGTTCGGACACCAGGAGACGCTGATTAACCTCTAAATGAACACACCTGTGAGGCGCAGAGGCGTGGACACGTCATCACGCAGCTGTCGCCTCACCTGTACTGTTGGCAAAGTGTTTTATCTGGCTCTGAATAATATTCAGGATTTTTGTACATTTCTTCTTAAACCTTTATGAATAAAATTAATGAGTTATTAGGCGCTACTTTTACAAAGTGAGGAAACACCGATCTCTGCTGGTCAAAACCATCATTTTCTGAACTCTGTTAACTACGTAGCTGCTTCAGATATATTTCGTAGTAACTTTGCTGCATGTATTTATACTGATACTTTATGTGTATTTATTTTAACTTGCAACACAAGTTAGCTCAATATGTACATTTCAAATGTAAATGAACTCTGTCCATGTTTATAAAGCACCAGTATTGTTATTTTTAAAATGCTAGCTTTAGCTAATATTTTGTGTTTTACTGCAACAACTGCACACTTTTTTCTTCTGCTATTCTGTTCGGTCATTTTTGTATTTTTAGTCATTATGCTGTGTGTGTGTGTTTTTATTTTTATTTTAAATATCTTAATAAATCTTGCATTTATTCAAGGCTCTTAAGTGTCTGCAGCTCTATTTATATTTTATTTAGCTACAAATCGTTAGCTTAATAGCATAACTGCCTAACGAAATGCAAATACTTTTTGTTTTGTAAATATTGCTGATCCATATCCCGGGGTTTTCATTCTGGTTTATACTCAAAACAAACAAAATATTAAAAAATATATATTTATTTGTTGACTGTAGCAACTATGGAGAACCATAATGAGACTTTTTCTTTTGTCTATAAATGGGCACACATGGAGTGAACCGACAATTCATCCAATATAAAACAATAAAGAAGAAACACAAAACATCATAAAAACTTCTTTTATTTCTAGAAACGCGTCTGACATTTTGCATAGGGAAATAAGTGAACGATACCTGACTTTAAAAATAAGGTAGTTTACGTAAACATATTTAGCAATCAGCAAACAATACATAAATGCAAATGCAGTGAAGTGTGTACTTGAGGCAATAAAAAGCAAATATATTATAAGGAATTTTCTTTCATAACATTTAACCTCGTAGACTGAAACAATACATTTAATTTGCTTCTTTCCTTCCTTTGGCAAAAAAAGCTAAAATTTTATGGGTGAGAGAAACTTTGTCGTCAATTTACTTCATGTTTCTTCTCAATCTCATTTTCTAAAAAACAAATTATGTGCTGTGTTGGTTGACTCAACTCCATCCTCACTGCTGCACTAAATAACCGAGATACGATGTAGAAGAACCATCTGCTTTTATTCAAGGATTCAGAGGATGAGAGAAGTACAGAAGAAGATTAGGGCCACCGGAAAAAAAAATGTAATTCTGACTTTTTTTCCTCTCTCTTTTTTCCATACACAGGATGACAAAAAATATAATTTTGGGAGAAATAGATAGTAAACTGAAATTAAAGTCAGAATTCCGAAATTAGTGTCAAAATTCTATTAATATCAAAATTCTGAAATTAATATCTAAATTCTGAAATTAGTCAGAATTCTGAAAATAACATCAGAATTATGATGTCAAAGTCAGAATTCTATTATTGGGAGAATTCTGAGATTTAAGTCATAATTTTGAAATTAATGTCAGAATTCTGAGAAGAAAAAAAAATCAGAATTTTATACTTTTTTTTGTTGGTGGCCCTAAGAGTCTCCCGTAGAGCCGGTCCGTGGAGCGGTGGGTGTCTAACCGAAGAGCTTGATGAAGCAGGGGTGGCAGTAGGGCTTGTTCTCCTGCTCCTTGAAGCAGCCCTTGCTCAGCGGCTTCATGCAGAACTGGCACACCAGGTGGTGCGGGTGGAACTTGGCGCCCATGGCGGTGACGCAGCGGCCCAGGATGGGCTGCTGGCAGGCCTGGCACATGCTGCCGCGGGACTGGTGGTAGTGGGCCTCGCACAGCGGCTTGCCCTCGTGCTCGAAGAAGCTGCCGTTGACGAAGGGGCTGTAGCACTCCTGGAAGCAGGCAGCGCGGAGACAATTAATCGTGATTAATCTAATTTGGCAATCGAATAATCGGTAACTGGAGATTGATCTCAAAATTTCTTTTGAATTCTGCACCTAAAAATTAACCAAAGACTGAAAGAATTAAAAGTACTACTATAACTAACAGACACTAAACAATATTAAGCAAATAAAAACTAGCAAAAACACTCTTAAAAACGAATTAAAACTGACTGAATTAGACAGATAAAAAGTCACAAATAAAACTAACTTACAATGAAAAACCCATGTATACACACTAAAAAAAGAGTAGCACTCAAGTGAAAACTGTACAAAAAATATATACATAGATTACAGTTGGTTTGGTTGCTAGGTAACGGGTTGGGCCTCGGTGGGGTTGCTAGGTAACGGCGAAATTCCCATGGGACGTAACTTAGCAATCAGGAGAGTTTTGAAATAAGAATTCCTTAATATTGATGAAAAAGTACTAATTCTACTAGCATTATTTTACTTATAACAGGCCAAAATTACTATGTTATAAGTGAAATAAAAAAAAATATATTTCATAGAGTTAGAATCCTAGTATTTTGGATTAAAATTAAACAAAAATATTCCTGATTTTCCATGTGTGCTCATGGCTGCTCTGTGTTTATCAGTCTGCGCTAAACAGACTGATAAGCATGGTCTGTTTATTGGTCTGTTTCTAAATAATTCTACAAAAATCACCTCAAAACTCAATAACTAATTAAAATATATCATAATAATCTCCAAAAAAATAAAATTAGTGTATCCTAACTTTAACTGTTAATAAAGTTATGTAGTTTAAGGTGATTACACAATTTTCAGGACATTTTGCAGATTTTTAGTGCAAACTTTAAATTAATTCTTTAAAAATCAATTAACTGATTTGGGGAAAACAGCAAAAAACAAAAGGACAAATCAATAACCTAATTATTATTGACAATTAAAAGGGTTTAAATAAGAAAATAAATTGGATTGGTCCAAACTAAAAGCTTATTGTTGTTTTAGATTGTTTTTTTTATTTATTATTATTTCAGGTCATATGGAGGGTTTTTATCAGTGGTCCACTGCTGATTAAATGATTAAATGACAAAACTCACCCGACACACGAAGCACTGCGGATGCCAGAGAGAGTTCAGAGCTGAAATGTAGTTTTCCAGAATCGGCTCGCTGCAGCCCTGACAGCGGGAGGCAAACAGGGTCAGGAAGCACTGCTGACAGTACTGCTGGCCGTCACGGTCATGGAAACCTGCAGGAGGAAACCACAGAATTACAACAACTCCACCCAAAAGGAAAAAAAGGTTAAATACAGCTGAGAAAAACAGTGCACCCTCTTTAAACCACCTTTCATTGTTGCAAAATATAACCCAATTTACTTATCTATTTCTTAATAAAGAGAAAAAGGTATGCTGTAGCCCACGGTTTTCAAAAGAGGGCCATGAGCGCATGATTTTTTAAAATAATAAAATCTAAACTATATTTCAATAATAATAATTATGAAATATAAGTTAAAAATTTACTGAAATATTTGGATGCCAGTCAAATATATCAATCTACTTTGCTCCTCAAGCTAGCATAGCACAGCTAACTAAAACCAGTAGGTATGAGGTAGCATTTATGCTAAAAGAATAGCGGATAAAAGTGAGATAAACATTCTAAATGTTTTTTATTTACATGTTTTGTGTTTGCCTGTTTGCAAAAGTGCTGTAGCCTTTTCTGGGGGAAACCTTGACTATAACAACACTGATTCAAATCGATTAATATTATCCACCTGGACTTCTTTCAGTGTTGTAGTTTGGCGGCCATCCAGCGGAGGGCGCCAACGGTCTTGCCTAAGCAAAGCCGTTTCAGAATTAAAGATGGCGGCCATTCCAAAATAGGAAAGAGAAACGGCCCAGACAGAGTCCGGTATGTAATGCAACATCCACTTTAACAGGAGGTCTACTTTTAATTCTTTTAGTCCACAAAGTCTGAAATTTAGCTAAAAACCTCAGAAATGTTTAAGATTTTCTCTTAAACTGTTTCTAATAAGTTTTTTTCTTGTTTCATGTCGCTTCATTCTCCGGTTACCTTCGTCTCCAAATGTGCGGCTGCACTTGACGCAGCAGAAACACTCCGGATGCCAGTTCTTGTCCAGAGCAGTGACCATTTTCTAAGCACACAAAGAAACAAAGGTGAGGGAAACAGCTGTAGCTAACCGTAATAGATTTGGTTTTATTAACGTGGTTCTATGTCTCACGTTCAGTATCGGTTTGCTGCAGTTAGCGCAGTGCGGGGAGAAGAGCGTGAAGTAGTCCGACTCGCAATATGGCCGCCCGTCCTTCTCGAAGAAGTTGCGACTGCCCAGCTCCGTCTCGCACTCTGTGCATACGAAGTGCTCCGGGTGCCACACCTTCCCGAGCGCCGTCACCACCTGTTGCACACGGACAGTCGGCTTTACTGCTGCTAATGTGATAGTGAAAGTAATCTACTAACGAGTTTAAAGTTAAGCTGATTAACTGATAAGCGGACATTTTCTTTGAAGTTGTTTCTCCGTCATGCAACGCGGCTGAAAAAAATCCTTATTAAGGAGAAACTCAAGGACCTTGTTGAGTTTTTATTTTAAAACAGAACCACAGAGTGAATTTTTCACCCCACACCAAACTCTGTTTGGAGCCGCCATCTTGTGTCAACTGGCTGTGCTTAATCACGACCAGCGGCGCCCTCTGCTGGTTGGCCCAAGCTACAACACAAAACTTTAACTGACGTCATTAATCGACTGGGACTCATTTTAATCTAATAAACCCTTTCAGTTCATTAATTGTTTGCATCCCCTGTGGTGATTCACATGGCAACAGGAAAGGGCGATGAAGCGGCTCACCTGTCCTACGACTGGTTTTTGGCAGGCTGAGCAGTTTCCCTTGGAGGACGTCTGAACTCCTTGTCGGCTCAGGTCTGATTGGAGGAGTCCCAGCATGCTGTCCAGTGAGCCTCCAGGTGTGGCCTGGGTTGGAGCGGCGGACTGCTGTGGCGGGGTGGCGGGCCGCTGCGGCGCGGTGACCACTTGGCTGACAGGCGGAGTTGGCTGGTAGAAGACAAACAACGGCCGTCTTTAAAAGACTTTACCTTACATTTTCAGCTGCTGTGGTTCGCTTTTGCCCTGTGTCATACAATCCAAACTCTTTTATAAACCTATTCCCCTTCTCACCTGTGGTGGCGCTGTGCCAGAACAGACTGAAGGGAATGACACGAAAACCTCAGAACAAGACACTGAACGTAACTTTCTTCTTCCCGAAATGTAACCAAAAATGGAGCAGCGTCAGATTTTAGCGGTTGTAGGATTTCCTTCTTCTCTTTGGTAAAAGATAACGAGTCATTTTTCCTGCAAGCACGAAACTCACACGTTTGTTTTGGTTATATTTACCCAGAATGCCCTGCGCTGCAGTCCACTTCCTGATTTTGTAGCGGTCTCCGGTCCGCATGGCGTTCACATATGCATTCAAACCGCACCAGAGTTCATTTTTTGCTTGATCATTCATTCAGATCTCCCCAAACAAACCAGACTTCTAGACAAACAACTACAGTTTGATTAAAGCAAACTGGTGTGAATTCACCCATAAGTCTGGTCTGTGAAGCTGAACTCTGACCTCAGACTGAAGGAGACACTTAAACAGATCGTTAACCTTCATCCTCTGAAGACCACGGATGTTTGGAAAATGCAGGAATCTTCCTGTAAACATCTGGGCTTTGTTTATATCCCACAGCTGCATCCAAAACAGTTTTAAAATGATGCAAATAAGTTCCATCTAAAAAGGAACATCTACCAGCTATCTATCTACTGTTTCAGCTAAAAACAGTTTTAGTTTTCTAACTTCCTTCATGTTCTCTGAAGTAAGTAACTTACCGTTGTCTGGACTCTGAAGTCAGACAGTGAAGCCATCAGTTTGTCCAACTCCATGGTGGCTGAAGTCGCTGAAGGCTTAGAAGAGCTGGAACAAAAAGACAAATCATCAAGTTAGGTCGGGTCTAGAAGAGCCTGAGGATTACGGTTTCTCTACATGCAGCTTCTGCAGGACAAATTCAAACATCGAACAGAAGGCAGAGGTGATGCAGGCTACAACACAGTAGATAAAAATTAAAATCTGTAAATTTCTCCCCAAAAATCTTTAAATGTTTTAGATAAACCTCCAGAAATTTTCTAGAAAAAACAGGAAATTTCTGAGTTTGTAATGCCAAAAGTCAAACATTTGGAAAGGTTTTTGTTTTAGAAAATTTCTGACAAACTCAAAATTTTAGATTATTTTTTCTAGCAAAATATAAACTTTTGAGGACCCAGATATTTTCAGGATTTTTTTTCTACATTTTTTCTGCTACTTTTTTCCTAGAAAATTCCTGAGGTTAAACTAAATATTTTTGGATTTTTGTCTGGCAAATTTTTGACTTATGTCCTCTTTTTTTCTATATAATTTCTGATATTAATCTCAAAATTTATGTTTTTCTAGCAAATTTTTTGACTTTTGGAACTCAAGATTTTATTTTTTCTAGAAAAAATTTTTTTTGTAGAAAAAAAGATTTTATTTTTCTACATCAGTTTGAAAAATAAAAGACTTTGAAAATAAAGACTTTATTTTCAAAGTCTTTCCAACTTTGAAAATAAAGCTTAGAAAACGTTTATTGGATAAGGATAGTGGTGTTGCGTCTGTGTTTCCTGATCTGAAAAAAGCTTTTGACACTTTAAAACAAAATATTTTACATATTATTACCAGTTTACCTTCTTCCATTATCACCCGGTGTTTCCCTAGGCTCCATTCAGGGACTGCTGTTATTTTCTCTATCCATAAATGACCTCCATTCAGTTCGTCCTGATGTATTTATTCAAATGTACGCAGATGATGCTGTCATTTATACCCTAAGACAAATGATTCAAGCCAATGAGCGTACGCAGTCTGTGGCTAATGAATCGGATTGGTTAAAACTCAATGTAAACAAAACTGTTGGAATGTTTTTCTCCAAATCAAAACTTCCAAATTATGAAGCAGAAATTTATCTGGCTGGAGAAAAAACTACAACTTGGGAACAAATTTAAATGTCTTTCTATCATAAAGGACTCAAAACTTACTTTAAATCTCAAATTATAAAAAGTTTGTATTTGAGTTAAATTTTGCATTTCAAATTTTAGTTTCGTAAAAACTACATTCATCACTCCAGGCTTCTAAAATGTTTATGCATGTATTTTATCACATCAAAACAACATTTTAGTGTGATAATAAAGTTAAAGTTTGTGAAGCTATTTGTGTATTAAATATGCCGTGCTTATGCAGTTATAAATTAATTTGTAATTCAGCACATTTTTGTTTGTATTTTTTAAAAGATAAACCTCCTAAGTAATTTCGTTACCATCTTTCTATATTGGATCGAATAGACTGGTACTGGAAAGAAGTGGATTGATGCATTTCTATTGAAAAAGGTTTTAAAAAGTTGTCAGTTTGTCTTACTGAAAGCTGTAGATACCCTGGTTTGATGATCATGGTACAAATTTAAAAATAATATATATACATTCATTAAATGAGACCTGGAGGAGGTTGAGGTCTTATCCTTGATCTTGTCCCTCTCATCTTTCTTAGAAGCAGGAAACTGGGCCAAGATCTCATCTGCAGACAAAATTACACCAAGTTAAAGTCTAAACCCGTTGCAGAGTAACATCACGCGCTCTAGAGCCCACCGCCATCATCTCTCTGCTGGGGGGCGAAAAGCTGCTGGCTGACCATGACTACCTCTGGGTTTAGCTGCTAAATTGTCAATATAACGTGCTAAATCTTAAATGTATGCCTGATATATAAAAGAAAAAGGAATGCAGTGCTTTGTTACTAATTGTCAACACTACAACTAGATAACAAGGTCAGGAAAAAGTTTAAGAAAAAGAGGGAAGTAGCTCAGTTATGCTAGCTTGACTTTGATAATCTTAACATGTAGATGTGCTGTGGAATTATGTGTCCTTTGGTTCAGTTACAAAATAAAAAAGGCAACCTAAACACAACCAGCTGTAGCGCACTGCACTAAACTAATAATTCCTACATCTCCAGGTTTAATTTTGTTGACGGGATTGTTCTACTGCAGCAGCGTAGCTTTTGATGGCAAGTAAAAGGATCGTCTTTTTGCCCTCCAGCGTTGTGTGCACGCATACATTTCCAGACTTAAACAATAACTTGCAAAGGGTCCGTATCTGAACAGCTGAGACTTGAGGTAAACCCATGGAAATGCACTCACAGACCTGTGATGTTAAACTGGGTGGCGTTGAGCTCCTGCAGCAGGTGATCCAGCTCATTCAGACCGCCGCCCAGCAGCGAGGAGGAGAAAGCAGGCGGAGGGTCTGCAGAGCGCGGAGAGCGCGGTTTGCACACGGTGCTGCAGGGCACAGGAGACATGACAGTACAGCTCTGAGTGAGTTATTCTTTCAGTAAATGGCCTTTTTTATCTGTGTGTTCCAGTTAACAATTAATCAATTACAAAATCAGTTGACAATTATTTCAATAATCGATTAATCACGATTAATCGATTCAGCCCTGATTTTTTCTTGATTAAAATCAATCCGTCCTGAATCCCCAGTGTTATTGTTGTGTGTTGATTTATAATCAGAGGTGAGATTCTTGTCCACTGCAGACCGGACCCACCTGTATAATTTGTCCGGGTTGGAGTTGGTTGAAGACTTCATTGCTGCAGAAACAGTCTGAGAGACAAAACGGATGGTAAGTGAAGGTGAGGAAATTACACAATATGACATGAAAATAAATCTCTGAGTGCCGACCTGCTGCGGCGTGTAGGCGGGCGGCGGCGGTCGAGCCTGCGCCGAGTCATGGGAGTTGGCATCGGAGTTCTGTGGAGGGTCAGAGGTCAGCAAGACGGGACACCGAGGAAGAGGAGAGCTGGTGTTCTCCAAGTCTGCAAGAAGGGCATCTGGAAGGAAGGAGGAGGGCATGCAAATGTTAATTTCTAGGGAAAAAATCTAATTTTGAGAGTTTCAAACAGCAAAAATATTTTTTCTCAAAAATTTGTTTTTCTTCTCACAAATTTTTAACACTTGAAACTTTTAGATTTTCAAGTTTTGTTCTCAAAACTTTTCTGACTTAATCTCAAGATTTCTGTTTTATTTTTCTAAGAAATTTTTGACTTTTCAAACTCAGAAATTTAGTTTTTTCCAAAAATTTCTTAAATGAATCTTCCAATTTGAGTGTTTTTCTAGCATATTTTTGACTTTTTAATATCTAAAGTCTGAAAATTTCTGAGATTACTCTTACAATTTCCAGTGAATTTTTCAAACTCAGAAATTTCCAAGATTGTCTAGAGCATTTCTGATTAATCTCAAATTTTCTAATTTTTTTCTAGTTTATTTTTGTTTTTTGAAAATAAAGAAAAACATAATTTTTTTTCTTTTAAAAAATTATCTGAGATTACTCTAAAAGTTTCCAGCAAATTTCTGACTTTTCAAACTTGAACATTCCTACATTTTTTTCTCAAAAGGTTCTTAAATTTATTCTAAAAACTTTGGTGGAAATTTCCTTTCTTTTCAATCTACAGGTCCCTAATATGTCATCATAACATATTGCCCTAACTTACTGTCTAAGATCATAATTCTATATTCTGGATAATTTTTGATGGTGCTCAGAGTGGAAAGAAAAGACATGCAACATTAAATGTGAATAAAAATATGCAAAAGCACGGTGCAACACGAACATGCACAGACAGTTACGTACCAAACACAACAATACGAGGACTGAGAGGGTAGCAAGGCGGCTCAGACAGTCCTGAGGAGAGACAGACAGCCAGCGTGACCAAAACAGCAGCAGAAAGTCAGAGCAAACACAACACACAGCTCAATCCTCAGAGATAAGTCAGCTGCAGGACAGGACAGTCTCGTAGCTCAGGCGGGAATCCGTCTTCATGCTGACATTACTGGGACAGACGTTCATATCTGAGGCATGCCAGGGTGCAGAGGAAGCAGGGGAGGAAGAGTGCTTGGCTGCTGATATCCAAGCAGCAGCCAGCCGCCCCCACACTCCCAGAAACAAAGCTAGTTAGCTAGCTGTCACCTAATATGCTTCTTCCAACAGATTGGAATAGGTTTATGACAAAACAAAACTTGTTCATGACATTTTCAGTATGCTCAGTCTAGTTTGAGCTACTTTCATGATGTAGCTCAAAGCAGACTACGCCTCCACATTTGGTCCGGCCCCCTGAACAATACCAGAGAGCATTCAGATTTGTTTTTTCATTTATTGTACATGCCGACATTCCGATTTATATGTGGATTTTTCTTCAACCACCAGGGG